CAATTTGTATATCTCAGAATTTCGAAAAAGTGCCTAGTTTTCGAGAAAATCGAAATTTTAGTTTTTCGTAGTTCCGCCGCTCGCCGCTAGATGGCGCCACTTGTACCGTTTTCGACCGAATTCGACAAAAATTGATTTTCTGGCTTTATTAGGCATCAAAACGCATCAAACCCTAATAGAAATTTGTTTCTAAATGCCTCAGGAACCATACTACGTCGTCAAAGTGCCGAAATATTTATTTTTTTATTTTCCTTATATGCGTGTCGGACCCTCATTTTTTAGGTTTAGTTCACCCATTTCGCCGCTAAATAAAGTGCACTATTTGTAACGGTTATATTACAAAATATAACAATGCTATAGAGGAGTATAAAGCTTCATTTATTATTAACTAAAATTTTAGTTATAGAATTACAATTGTAGATAGCGCTGTTAGTTGTTTAACCATGAAAAATGTCTGGTTCCTATCTACAGTATAGTATGCCATGGTGAGAATGAACCGCACGAGAGGATATGCGGATAATACATTTGTTCATTGCAAATGGTTGATGGATCGTGAGGAGTCGAAAAATCCGTAAGCATCGTTATTAGAGTCGGAAGTACGTTCACCTATAAGGTAAAATAATATTTACTATATTTCTAACTTTTTAGAAGTAATGTTATTTTTTATAATGCACGTTTATTTTAATATAAAATTTGGACCTTTTGTACTAAAAATTCAGAGACTCTTAGGCTTCTACGTTTTCATTTTTAAGCGTTACACGTGCAACAAATAACTTTTACTAGGACTTTGTACTATTGAAAGTGATTAAAATATATTTATTATCAACAAAAAGAATATTTTTGTTTCTGCTGCTGCTTTTATCTTTATCTTGCCATTAAATATAGAAGATTTTTATTGAAATATTGTTTTTTGATAATGTACTTACACATTCATAAATTAATTTATGTCCATTATGTTTGTTACAGGATGGATATTATTCTTTCTACTAATACATATTAATAGATTCTATTCTATTTATTGACTGATTAACAAATATTGGAACCATGTATCTATATAATTTAACACTTCAACGTGCCACGGGAATAACCCATGCAGTACATGGGAATTTCTCTGGCAGTAAAATGCAAGAAATATTAGTCTCCCGTGGCAAGTCTCTAGAACTTTTGAGACCAGATCCAAATACTGGTAAAGTTCATACCTTATTGACTGTAGAAGTATTTGGGATTATAAGGTCTTTAATGGCCTTTAGACTGACTGGTGGTACAAAAGATTATATAGTTGTCGGATCTGACTCTGGACGTATTGTCATTTTGGAGTACATTCCTGCCAAAAATATTTTTGAGAAAGTTCATCAAGAGACTTTTGGAAAAAGCGGATGTAGACGTATTGTACCTGGACAATATTTAGCCATAGATCCTAAGGGGAGAGCTGTTATGATAGGTATTATTAATTTTCTTATACAAATAATTTACACATTTTTCATACCATGTGATTATTAACTACTATCCGTGTTTCAACTGAATAACATTGATTACAATTATTAGTGATGATGGTTATGTTTTATCTAAAAAATATTTTTACTCGAGATATAATAGCTGCTTCTAAACATTGTCAAAATTTATTTGTTTCAGGTGCAATTGAAAAACAAAAACTAGTATATATTTTAAATAGGGATCCTGAGGCACGCCTTACAATTTCTTCGCCATTAGAAGCTCATAAAAGTAATACACTTGTTTATCACACAGTAGGAGTGGATGTTGGTTTCGAAAATCCTATGTTTGCCTGTTTAGAAATTGATTATGAGGTGATATATAACATGTATGTATTATATTGCACTATATGTATTTTTAATACTAATAATTGCTTTAAATTTTGTAGGAAGCAGACAGTGATCCTACAGGTGATGCCGCCGTAAAAACTCAACAAACTTTAACCCTGTATGAACTTGATCTTGGTCTAAATCATGTTGTACGAAAATATAGTGAACCTTTAGAAGAACATGCTAATTTCCTTGTATCTGTTCCTGGAGGCAATGATGGGCCAAGCGGTGTTCTTATCTGTTCTGAAAACTATTTGACGTATAAGAATTTAGGAGATCAGCACGATATTCGTTGTCCCATTCCTAGGCGACGTAACGATTTAGATGATCCTGAAAGGGGCATGATATTTGTATGTTCTGCCACTCATAAAACCAAAAGCATGTTCTTCTTCTTGGCTCAAACTGAACAAGGAGATATTTTTAAAATTACTCTGGAAACAGATGAAGACATGGTGACTGAAATTAAATTAAAATATTTTGATACTGTACCTGTTGCAGCTAGTATGTGCGTTTTAAAAACAGGTTTCTTATTTGTAGCATCAGAATTTGGCAACCAGTGAGTATATATTCTTGATTTTAGATGAAAATCAATTTACAACATGTTATATTCTATATTTTTTTTCAGTTATCTCTATCAAATTGCTCATTTAGGAGATGATGATGACGAACCAGAGTTCAGCTCTGCTATGCCCCTTGAAGAGGGTGACACATTCTTCTTTGCGCCAAGACCACTTAGGAATTTGGTATTGGTCGATGAAATGGATAGTTTATCTCCCATAATGGCGTGTCAGGTAATTATATAAACTAAAATAATCTACTAGTGCGCCCGCCAAGTAAAAAATTGACATTCATCAGTCTCTTTTTTTGTAGAGGGTGCAAAAGAAAATATTCTTAGTCGCCTTCTATTTGTCATTGCAAACAGAAGTTGAACCTAAGAATAACACTTAAAAAAGTATCAATAAAATTATCTGAACTTCTTTATGGAATATGTTACTTTGTGTAGGTAGCTGATTTGGCAAACGAAGATACTCCACAATTGTACATAACATGTGGTAGAGGACCACGCTCTACTTTGCGAGTTTTGCGTCATGGTTTAGAGGTCTCTGAAATGGCTGTCAGTGAATTGCCTGGTAATCCAAACGCTGTATGGACTGTTAAAAGGAGAGTTGATGGTTAGTTTAAAAGCATATTACCCAGTAATTGTTTGCATGTTTTTACTATAACGTGCTTAATTAACAATGCAGAATTACTTGGTTCTTCTGCATTGATTATTCATTTCCTTGCTAATTGCAATACAGTCTTTGTACACTCACTAGTTGTGATTTAATGTAGTACACAAATTGCCCTTTATAGTAGTTAATATTCGGTTTTGATTATAGTAAGTAATGAAAAATAATTTAAAATAATGTTTAAAAATGGTGGAGATACTTGGAATAAGAATTCAATTCAAGTTCACAGTTTTGGTTATTGCATTTATGTTCTTAATTACATAGCATATAAGATCTTCCACTTATTCCATTTAACTCTACAATTTTTTGAATAAAATCGATGCGCAAAAGACGTTGATTTTGTAAATGATATTAACGAATCTGGTGGCTTGATACACTCTTATCAAACACCAGTTCTCTCTTTCAGGCTACCAGCATGCTATTGGTTGAACTACAGAACACACACTGATAGAAAGGTAAGGACTGTCAAAATTGCCAGGGAATAAGAATTGATTTGCTCCAAAAACCATCTCCTCTTTGTGTGTAGGATCAAAGAGCGTGCTCGACTTCTAAGAAGATGATCTATTGTTTTATCCACTTGTTGATCTTTATTTTGCTTAGATATTCAGAGTGAGCTTTATAATTTTGATTACAGAGGAGTATGATGCTTACATCATAGTGTCCTTCGTCAATGCTACTCTTGTACTTAGTATCGGAGAAACTGTAGAAGAAGTGACTGATTCTGGGTTTCTTGGTACAACGCCAACGTTAAGCTGTTCAGCGTTGGGTGAAGATGCGCTGGTACAGGTAAAGTTATTTAATTTGCATAGTTATATTTATATGCACTATGGTATCTCCAACTCCTGGCCCCACCACGAGTTGGTCGCTTTGAACGGTGCTAAATTATAATGAGTTCTTGCATCGTTGAGTGTTCAGATCATAGCTGAGCATTTTCTGGTAAACTGAACTCGACAAAATTTTTATTATTAATATCAAATTATTTTACTTACTTCTTTTTTGGTATTAGGTATATCCTGATGGAATACGACATATTCGTGCTGACAAACGTGTGAACGAATGGAAAGCGCCTGGGAAAAAGACTATAGTGAAATGTGCAGTGAATCAACGTCAGGTTGTAATTGCTCTTACTGGAGGAGAATTAGTGTACTTCGAAATGGATCCTGTACGTTTCTTTATGTTTTATATAATTAATATACGCATTAATTGTTCTTTCTGTGAGTTTGTATTCTCAGAAACGTAAATAATGCGAAAAGTATATCACTTTCTTCATCTGCTATAATTGAATATTAATTAATTCAACTAGATGAAAAGTGGACATCTTAAATAATTTCTTATTAAGTTTAATAATTTCAATTGTACTTCCTAGACGGGGCAATTAAATGAATACACAGAACGAAAGAAAATGCCATCAGAAGTGATGTGTATGGCTCTTGGTAATGTAGCCATTGGAGAACAAAGATCATGGTTCCTGGCTGTTGGTCTTCAAGATAACACTGTGAGGATTATTTCGTTAGATCCTTCTGACTGCTTAGCACCTAGGAGTATGCAAGCTTTGCCAGCAGCTGCAGAGAGTTTATGTATCGTCGAAATGGGTGCAAAGGATGCAAACAATTCTGAGGAGTTATCCTCTCAACAATCCAGTCTTTATTTAAATATAGGTTAGTTGAAAATCTATAACAATATTATATGTTCTCATTTTCTGGTGTAAATTGTTAAACATGTGTTTCTTATTTTTTAGGGTTACAGAACGGTGTTCTGTTAAGAACAGTATTAGATCCAATCTCTGGTGATCTGGCTGATACACGAACGCGATATTTAGGTTCTCGTCCGGTTAAGTTATTCAGGATAAAAATGCAAGGAAATCAGGCAGTGCTTGCAATGAGTAGTAGATCATGGTTAAGCTATTATTACCAAAATCGTTTCCATTTAACACCACTCTCATATGAAAGCCTGGAGTTTGCGTCAGGCTTCAGTTCTGAGCAATGCCCTGAAGGAATTGTCGCCATCTCTACAAATACCCTGAGAATTCTTGCCCTTGAAAAGTTAGGTGCAGTTTTTAATCAAATCAGCTTCCCTCTGGAATACACACCAAGGAAGTTTGCGATACATTCGGATTCTGCACACTTGATAATCATTGAAACAGAACACAATGCATACACAGAAGAAACGAAACAGCAAAGAAGGCTACAAATGGCAGAAGAAATGCAAGAAGCTGCGGGCGCAGAAGAAGCTGTGGTAGCAAGAGAATTAGCTGAGGCTTTCTTATCTGAAGAACCTAATGAAGCTGTGTTTGGAGCACCAAGAGCTGGTCCAGGATTATGGGCATCCCTTATAAGAATAATAGCTCCAACAACAGGGCAGACCTTTGAGGTTCACCGGCTTGAACAAAATTTAGCTGCTTTATGGTAAGAACACAAAGCATATCTAACATGAGTGCAAATCTTATTTATAAGAAGTATTAATTTTTATACATCTCTATTACAGCTTAAGTCTTGTAAAGTTTGTCAACCAAGGTGATCAGTTGTTCCTCATAGTGGGTATTGCAAAAGAGTTCCAATTAAATCCTAGACTGAGCAGCGGTGGATTTCTCTACACCTACAAGTAAGCATTTCAAAGTACATTATAAAAGATTTATGAAAGAACTCAAATGATGACAAAAATACACAACCACTGAAATATAATTGGATGAAATATCCTGCAGTGCTGATACTAATTTGTTAATACAAAATACCTTTTATTTTAAGAGAGTAGATGTTAAAATAGTTTCTTTTTTCCAGAGTAAATACTGAATGCACTAGTCTTGAATTGGTACATAAAACTACTTTAGACGAGGTACCTTTGGCTATATGTCCATATCAGGGAAGAGTATTAGTTGGTGTTGGTAGAATGTTGCGTTTATATGATATGGGCAAGAAAAAGTTACTACGCAAGTGTGAAAATAAGCACATTCCTAACGCTATTGTTTCCATAAATGCAATTGGACAACGAATTTATGTCAGTGATGTTCAGGAATCTGTGTATGCTGTCAGATACAAACGACAAGAAAATCAGCTGATAGTTTTTGCTGATGATACACATCCCAGATGGATTACAACTACATGTGTACTTGATTATGATACAGTTGCCACCGCTGATAAATTTGGTAACATTGCTGTTGTAAGTAATAACATTTTGACACCCTTACAGCATATATCAATTTAATGACAAATTAATAACATGAAATATTATTTTGTAACAGATACGTTTAGCAAGTGGAATTAACGACGACGTGGATGAAGACCCAACCGGAAACAAAGCATTGTGGGACCGGGGTTTACTCAATGGCGCCAGTCAAAAAGCAGATACAGTTGCTTGTTTCCACGTTGGTGAAACGGTCATGTCTTTACAGAAAGCAACCCTAATTCCGGGTGGTTCTGAAAGTTTAGTTTATACAACATTAAGTGGAACAGTTGGCGTGTTGGTGCCTTTCACGAGTCACGAAGATCACGATTTTTTCCAACATTTAGAAATGCACATGCGTTCGGAACATCCACCACTTTGTGGAAGAGATCACTTGTCCTTTAGGTCGTATTATTATCCTGTAAAGAATGTTATAGACGGTGATCTCTGTGAACAGTTCAATTCAATTGAACCGGCGAAACAAAAAAGTATCGCGGGTGATCTCGAACGGACACCTTCTGAAGTGTCGAAAAAACTCGAAGACATCCGTACGCGATACGCCTTTTAAATTTTTTTACGATTTATTTATTATCGCGTCATTAAACATTCTTGCATTCCGTTATAATGAATACATGGTTTTTTTTGTTTCTATACTGATGAATAAATACAGATTAATCGAGTCTTCTGTACATGTTGCTTTCAGTATGCAGCACAAACTATAAAAGCTTTTTAATGAACGGTTTAAAATATCTTGGAGGTGTACATTTTTCTGTTACACATTTAGATTTATGGTTCCAATTTTTACAATGTATTCCATAAGTTTTGACGAAACTGCAAAGTGATATAACATTATAAAATAAACGTTTTTATCACTCATTTATGTTCTAAAAATATTCCTACAGATTTTTTGCAACTGGACATTTACGTTCTTTTTCTATTAGCTTGTGTTCATATTGATATACCACCACTTTTTTTCAGTTTGTTCTTGTTACAGTTTATCGTGACATGTAGTGCAGAAAAAATAGAAAACGCCTTGTCGACCTATTTTAGCATTCTAAATACAGCTTGTGCATAATATATTGAACACGTTGTATAAACAATTCTTTAGCTAGAAATTCATAATCATTGGTTAACATTTTCACGCGAATTAGATGTAATACAAATTATAAATTAATTATTCTCGTTCAGATTAATTTTAAGCACCGTACATTGAAAGATTTTGTTGAACAATTTTTGCATTTACAAATTAAAATCAAAGATGTAAAAATTGTTCACATTTTCTTATTATAAATATTCGTGTAATACATGTGTTTGTAAAAGAAAGTCATGAAGTACTGAAAAGTATTCAAGAACAAATATGAGTATTAAATACGCGCATAATTTTCAATGCGTTTTTTTTAATTCTACGAATTTATTCCGTCCTCTCGTATTCATCCCTTTCGACCTACAATTCATCGTCTATAGCGATCAGTGTTCGCATTTTTCGCTGAAAGCTTCGGCGCGAAGTTAATCCGCGTGCCGAAGCGTATCGAGGGTAACGTAACATTATTACCCTCGTTTAACCTTCAAACTAATAAGTAGGATACGATGTATAAAATTTCATATTGTTAAAAAAAATAAAGTATTACGATAATTATAATGTCTATATTTATTAAAATTAATTACGCAAAAATATATGATCTCAATTTACCTAGGCAACTATTTTAACCGCGCACTGGTCATCTAATAGTAATACGCTGCATAGAAGCATAGATAAAAAATATTTATTATCACAGCCGCAATAATTCATAAAAGCTCTTATTTGTTTCTAGTTTAAAAATATAAATTCTGGAAAATACAAAGATTTTTTTAATCTAATTTGTAGAAATAGAAAGGTGGTCGTAAATCTTTTTGATGAATTCAGGTATTACGATTTGTAGTTACGTCACTGCAGTGGCGTGCTTTAGGGCGTTGAAACGGGGAGAAAAGGACCAAATACCGATCGATGCATTGAGGCGCCAGGCCCTGAGCTCAGCCCCGTTTCGTTCCATCACCCTTACCCCGGTATGCCCTGCAGCAAACCTGCCCTCCGGGCTTTCCTCTTTAGTATGCAGTTGCGCATCAACTTCTTCACGGTGTAGAGTTGCGTTTGGTCTTGCTGTACTTTTAACATTTCTACGATCGGTGACTTGAATTTCTTTTTTTGTTGTGACGCGACGCGAATCGATCCCGGAAACGTGTATATTCCGCAGGAATCTCTTTGCAAACGATACTTTCATTTTTTGTGAAATTGTTGTCGGGGGTGATTATGCATAGCGGTGTGAATCTTTATTATATTTATTATTATTGTCACTAGTTGCAGTTCCGATATGACTGTATCATTTTTTAGACACGTAATTCTTTAAGTACGAACTGATTTTTTGCTATTATCGATTCAAAACTACGTTGTCGAGCTTGCTATTGTGATGTTCAACTTACTGACAGATGATTATGGTAAATCATTCTTATATTCTATATTTTAGAAAAGAGTTTACGTATTTCTTAAAGTTGTAATTATGTGCGTTTGTTGTACACTTTAAGAGGTATCGGTAGTTTTTTGATAATTAGAATTATTCGTTTGAAGCCGGTAGATTTCAAAGATCTTTCAAGTGATCTTTTATGTAATAAAATCAAGATATAATTCAACCAGAATATTTCACACAAGACGTATGAAGTAACACGATGTTTGAATAGAGATCACAGATTTCATTTTATCCTGAAACACGATACTTAGCGTGATTGCCTCAAGTGAATTTTCCAGTGACCGTATGTTTATCGGGAAAATCTCAAGTAACGAATGTATTTATATTTGATAAAGGCTTCATAATTGCTGTCAAAAGTATAGATCATAAAAATAAATTTGCCGAAGTGACAAAGCTTTACACGTGAAGTATGTTTATCGTACACGCGATAAAAGGGGTAATCAAGTATCATCAGGAGAATTGAAACGTATTGTTTGTTGGTACACTTTCGGTCTTTGTCAATTGTTTGCGGTCAAGTGTTTAATTTAACCTATTCACCTACTTCGATGAATAGCTCTTTCCCCCTTTTTGCGAAATTACATCATGCGTCAATAAATTCGAACGGCGATCGGTTTCAAAATTCAGTTAAAGTTACATGTACGTCATTTATGGACACGTGCATGTAAAAATTCGTAGAAAATTGTTTACTTATGCGTAGTTAATTCGTATTTATATAAATAAAAATAATTGTCGGCATTCACCGCGAATGTCACACCAAGTACCGTACCGCATGATGGATAAGTGATGACCACATTAGCGCGCAACGCCATAAAAATGCCATTGCCATCGTTTTTATTGTTTGTACTTGAATGCATCAATATGTCATGCGTTGCTGTACTTGATGGGATGACCGCTTTGATCGCATTACGAAGATACTGAACAAAGCGCTTCTATTTTGCAGGAGATAGCTGATGCCGGCGGTGGTCTTAAACATTTCCGTATAATTACTCTAGTTCTATTGATATTTCTATTGAAGTGGACAGACCGCGTGGCAGCTGGCGATTGCGGTCTGGCCGAGTTAACTTGTCGAGACGGACATTGTGTGCCGATTGATGCATACTGCAACGGTCGAAATGATTGTGGAGATTACAGCGATGAGCCAGTTATGTGCACCCCCTGCAACCGTACTTATCACGGCCGAGAAGGACGTACGTACAAATTGGATCTTCCGAGACCTGCCGAAGAGCGTCTACCATTCCTTTGTCATTTAACGTTCACCGCTGCTGGTCAAGGATATGGAGAATTGGTGCAATTGTTATGGGATGCATTCAGCATAGGCAGGGTAGATACGAACACTGATAACTTTGCAGCGAGCTGTCCAGAGGGATCATTGCAGTTAGCTGAATTAGGTAGACATTTCACTGGTGGCTCTTGGTGTGGAGTTGGTGAAGGGAAAGCTTCCTATTATAGCGAGACCAGTACTGTAACAGCTTCTATAAGATTATTCCATGCTCCCCCAACTGTACCATTCAGGTTTTATCTACGATATAAATTCGTAGCACGCAATGAAGCTGTTGCTAGATTAGGAAAACCTGAACTTCCCATTGAAAGGGGCTCTCCAGTACCTGGGACTTATTGTTCAAGAAATTTTTATGAATGTCACTTGAAGCAGTGCAGATTACAAAGCCCAAATTATCCTGGAGAGTATCCTAGAAATGCCAGTTGTTTAATCACCATAAGGCAGAAAGAGGTGCCCACATGTAAGCATGCCATGATTTATGTGAAGTCTACCCCATCTGGTCCAGCTGGTATAACAACTGCTAACAATACTTTAAGCGTATGGCAGGATTGTCCTCCAGAGAAGGACCGTCTTATCTTTCGCGATGGTGTTCGACCGGAAGATCCAATTTTATTGATATACTGTGGGGGACCTTTACCAAGAATCACTGCCAGAGGTCCAACGATGCAAGTAGAGTTTCGAAGTTCTCCAATAGCTATACCTCTTGGTGCTTCCGCTTTACGAATTGAACTAGAAATTCAAGTTGCTTATGTTGACTCAGATGGACTGGATTATGCCAAAGGTCCCCATGGTTGCCATTTTTTTGTCAATGGTACTAGTAAAAGAAGTGGTGTATTAAGAGCACCACAACATGCACTGCCACCAAATTCTAGTTGTACCTGGAACATTAAAGGTTCTGCCGGAGATAGAGTGTGGATCTATTTTTCTTCTTATTCTCAAAGGGACTTGACAGACAGTATTGAAAACAATGCTAGCTCCCAATCGGACGTACCCTGTGCAGTGAAATTAATTTTCTGGGATGGTACTCCAACTACTGGACTTCCAATGGCTACATTGTGTGATGATACACCCAAGTTATGTGCACATGCAGCTCTAAGGAATATTACCAGAAGTACAAGACCATGTACAGCCGAAGAAAGCTACATTACTGTAGCACCATCATTGACATTGCACATGGAAGCTCTGTTGGGCACTGCTCTTCACACTGTTAATTTTAATGTAAGTTCTGGTACTGTAATCTGTAAATTTTACCATCAAATCATCATGAAATGTTATTCCAGGCACAGTATGAATTCATTTCAACTGTACAAGTTGGTGAACCATGGGGAGATGGAGTTTGCAGCAGGGTCTGGCGCAAAGTTCGAAGCGGTGAAGTAACGTCACCGCGCGATGTTCGTCTCTTCGGAAGGGGAGGATCCGCGAAGTTGGATTGCAGATATCGAATCGAAGCCGGTGCAGACGAACGTGTACGGTTAACGTTACACAACGTCAGTCTGGGCGAGTCTACCGTTTGCACTAGCGAACCAGATCCTCACACCGGCCGACCACGCTGTGTTCAGGAAGTGGGTTCCAGAGAAGCTCGTCTAGTTTTATACGAAGCGCCTTGGCGAGACGTGAAACTTCCAAGAGCTTGTTTGTGTGATAATACGTCGCATCTTCCTTTGACGCACATCTCTTCGAGTAGAGCTTTAGAAATTACTTTCTTAGTCGATCAGCAAGCTCCACACGAAGATTTCGAAACGCTCTTTTTTTACGCCAGTTTCGAACTTGTTCGTGCGCCTGAATGTCCCAGGAAACAAAGAGTACGTGGCGAAGGTAATATCAAACTTGTTTCTTTAACATGTCCATACAACAACAAAAAGTTATGAACATAACAATTCCTTTTGAAGGTGGTGAATTACGATTCGTGGCTCCTCCGCTATCGAGACCAGACATTTACTGTGAAGGACTCCCATGGTTGGTGGAAGCCCGCGAGAATAGATCTTTATTCGTTTTAACTTGGGGTTGGTTTCTTCCTCTTGAACCTCCTCCAGTATCAGAAATGAATGAACAAGCAAAATGTCCGACTACAAACAGAATTCTTCTGTACTCCGGTTGGCCACCAAAGCTTCTAAAGGTGGTGTGTCCTGCGGAACCAGGCGCCAGAGAATTTACGGTCCACGTTTTCTCTGAGGAATGGTTGGGAGGAACTGATGAAGCTAAGTGGCCAGGACCTCCAAGACCACCTGCGCTTCTCTTAGATTTCGTCGCGAGGGAGTCTGGTCAAGCGGCAGCCTCCTGGCTCGAAATTTCGAAAAGCAGAGCCGCTCTACGCAGACAGTTACGCTTGCCTGAAAGGGGTACAGAGAACGAAACCTCTGCTCATGGGGACTGCCCTCATAAATGTCCCGAATTGAGCGCTTGCATTGCTGCGAGTCTCTGGTGCGACGGAAGACCTCACTGTCCATCTGGACACGACGAAGCAAACTGTGGCAACGGTGCAAAATTACTAGGGCTACTTCCTTCAGAGATGTGGCTTGTCCTAGCAGGGGTTGCTGGAATTATTACCGCTTTCGCGTGCTTCTTTGCGGTGCTTATCAGCAGGTGCGATTATAGGTATTTACTTGAATACTTCTTTAAAAATGTGGGGGTCTTAGATCTCTATATTCTTAGTTATTATAAGATGCAGGGAGGAATGAGTAATTTTATAGTGTAATTTTTTGCAGGTCTAAAGCACATACAAAGAGACTTCATTACAAGGGTACAAAGAAAAGCAATAGACCAAGACGAGCACCAACAGAAGAAACATTACTCGGAGTAGCATCCTGACAACAGCAACCCGGCTTCGTGGAATACATCCACGTAGACCGGGAGACAACTGTTTAGCAATATTCTCTGTGCTTTACCGTCCACTAACTTAGCATTATCCCCAGGTATCATAGTTTTTGTTAAAGTATTTTGTTTTTCTTTGTTAACTTAGTGATCATTCTATTGTATTTAATTTTATATTTTATTTAACTTGTTATTTTTTTATATTTGTTTTCTGTATCCCTGTCCATCCTTACTATTACAATAATTATACATATAGCTAGTCAGGATACATACTAGTTAATAATAGAAAGGGACACAAAATATAGCCATACTCTATTTCTTTGAACTGTTTAAGATTTGTAGTTGAAGATTAAATTGATAACACTATCTGTGTTTTGTTTCATTAGATATGGATGTAAAGTAACGAACAGTGAATGGTAATGTTCACTGCTAGAGAAACTGCTTCGTGAACAGCTAGCCATTTTCAAACTCGTAATGTGATTCAGTTACATTCTAATTACACTGACGTGACGTTTCGTAAACCAAAGAGATTGTAAATGCAAGTACTATAATATACAGAAATAAAATATAATTTAAAAGATACCACACAGGTTGCTCAAAAGATATTGTAACTGCCAAAGGATATTTTAAGTTCAATTAGCAAGTATAACATTTTTAGCAGCAACAGGAAAAAAAGGAAAAAAAAAATAGAACAAATATATAATAGAAAAAAAATATTCTGAATGCACAAGAATAACTTTTTCATATTTTAAAATAAAGTAAGATTTTAATTTATTAATAAAACTTAAAAATAAAACATTAGCACCGATTACATAATCATAGTTACCATTTTATCAATGATGCCAAAGATTAAGTTCTTAATGTATTTAGTATTGATATTCCTTATGTCAATTTTTAAAAGATATTTTTATGACTTTTGCTCAAACATTTAATTATAATGTATTTTAAACGAATTTCATTGAAACATACAAAAGTGTAAAAATAAGAAGAGTTTAACTTAAAAATGTTCATCGAATTTGTTGGAAGGAAGAGGAGTTTTAACGTTGATGTTGATAATCTATGTTATATATTTTTTTTCTAAATATAGAAGCTACAAAAAGTACTGTACTTATAAGGGAACAATTGTAGGTGAAGTTCCAGCGCACAAGAAATTATAAGAAAAATGAAGGAAATAAAAACAGGAATTAGCTAAAATAGAGATAGAAAACAATCAGTTTTGGATCTTGCAACCAATGTAAAATTTTGACAGGACTTGTCTATTTTTTTAAGAAATCTAAGTTTTCCTTTAGACTATGGTAAAGTAATTTAAAAATATTATGAATTTTGGAACATTGAAGTAGAGTATATCATATTTAATTGAAGTATTTTATTATGTCTTTCACCCCTTTTCTGAATTTTTGTATAAATTTTACAATGCACAGCAAAATCCAAAATTGATAGTTTTCTACAATTCTTTTTTATGGTACAATATTATATAACAGTGTTCTTTTCTTCTACAATATGTAAGTTCAATAATTTCTTGCTAGAATGTTGTACATTTAAGTAAATCATTCTCTTAATTTTTCTTTTAATTTTTATGAAGCATTACAAACATTGTTTACAGTACATTACATTTTTATGTTATATTATGTTTCTCTTACATTTACTTTAAAGAATTCATTTGTTCTTTATTTAACATAATCGTAAGAATGAAATTAAATCAATAAATGATAAATCGAAGGAACTAAGGTATAAAAGTAGGGAAAAACTAGAGAGGATACTTCTCCAAATATTCTAAAAATGAAAAAAAAAAAAAACTGAATTTATTCATAAAAAAATCGCTGTTATACAATATTTAGTACTATAATAGCGTACTAGTTGCACTAACAAAGCATAGAGTTAAGAAACTAGTTGTGACACAAAGTGTTGGACGAGACAGAACGTAATTTATGATTATAAAAGCACATTGATAATGTTAAAGTGTTGTTATTGAAGTATAACTACTGTTAAACGAACAAGGTATTGTAATGTTCAAAAAAAAGAAAAGGAAAAAAAAGAACTAAGACGAATACGTTTGCCTATTAGATTATTTATAAGTAGATGATACATATTTAAACGATCATATTCAAAGGGAAGAAATCAAATCTAGTTTTTAATTAAACTATTACAAATATATCAGTACATGAATCTTGGGTAACAAGATATATTTAACGAGGAGAAATTCCCACGTATCCCTCTCAGATTTACAATAGATCGTAGCATGATCTGTCAACGCGTAAAAGCTCATTACAATCTGAGGAGACATCTGGGGAATTCTCTTTATATAAACACCACTATAAGGACTGAAAGTAAATCGCAAGATATAGTAATTGTGTAAAGAATAAACCAAAAAAAAAAAAAAGGAAAACTATACTGTAAGTGCTATTGAAAGATTAATGTTTAAACTACTGTGTATTTTAGTTTGGCCTGGAACGCTTGAACTGAAAAGTTGTGCCACGAGTGTGACTGGATATTGAAAAGTAAAGAGGATTAAAGAAGTGTCAAGATTTTGGAAAGTCGTTCAGCTGTAAAGGATCTGAAATTGTGAGATAATTTGCATACATTTCCATGTACATATTGTGTACTGCACACAAATTCAGTGTACATACCATGATACGTTTAATATATTTTAAATTCTGATATTTGAGTATGAAAAACCATTAGGAACTTGTTAAATGAATTAAAACATAGGAAATGTCTGTTACATATATTTCATTGATCTATCTGTGATCCTTGTTTGTTCATTCTATTGTAAATAACGTGGCAAATTCTCGTTTCTTTTAGGGTGTATTACTTTGAACGTCAAGTTGAGGATATTTTTCATGCAGACCATTGTAGCTCAAATATAACTAGCGAACAAATATTAAAATCTTCACAGAGGAAGATATATTCTAAACCATTCTAATCCGAATACACGATTCAGAGTTTTAAGGAGGTACGTTTTCTGAAGAGCAAAGTATACATCTATTAGAGTCTACTTTAGTAACAAATTTACTCAAGGAAGAGAAGAATTGAAATATTATACATATACGTATACTGGAGAGTTGTACACCATGAAAAGTGTAAACTGTGCTTTTCAAGATGTACATCTTTTTTGAAATTCCCTTTATTCATAGGATATACAGGGTGTCTGTACCAACTTGTAATAGTCTCATAAATTCTTTACGTATTGAAGGTACAAGAAAATTATTTATGTGAAAGATGCAAGATACATTGATTAACATCCAAGGTTCTTCAGGAATTTAGGGATTTGAAAATTTCGTAGTTTAGAGAATTTTTAACTTTTCACACATAAATAATTTATTTGTATCTTCCATATACAAAGAAATGATGGGACAGCAAAAATTAACGTGGACACCCTGTGTACAGATATTTAAGACTTGTAACTTGAAATGTATATCCGTTTAAGGTTTGTAGGAACACGAACATTGATCTGCGCTATGGAGATTTAAGATAGAGTGCAGAATTGATTGCCTTTTACGATATAAGTGTGACACGATGTCACTTGTAATCTTGTTTAGGAATTAACAAGGAACTTCATCGATTATTTCGATACATTTCAAACGTAGAGATAGTTGCCAAAGCAAACCGTAGACAAAATTGATAATTTACGAATTATATCCTCCATGAACATGTTTCCTTTTATCGTTCGTTACTTTATTAAAATGCATGGTAATAAGGGGATATAAAGTAACTACAAAATGCGTCTGTTTAATTAAACAATTGTAATTCGAAAATATTCACACATTTTAAACAGATTTCACAGGGAAATCGAGGAAAATCAACTTTTAATTTCCTTTGGAGAAACATTTGTAATTACATCTTCAATTTTAAATAAATACAACAAACGTAAGATCTTTCTTTTGAACCTCCAGATTCTTTTAAAGTCTGCTGCACATGTTGGAACTATGTTCTGCGTATTTGAAATAAGATTTTTCTGCTTCTGTCCTAAGAGTTTGTGCCATTGCTGCATTTGTGTTGTTTACCATCTGCGAGAAGACTCCTTCAGGTTTGTCACGAAGCAGCTCATAAGCATGTCCAAATTCCTGTGATCGCAAACATTTTTACCAGAATGATTTAATCAAAATATATTAGAAGACATGCAGGAAAGTAAGTCAAGTAATTTCTTTTTATAGATAAACAGGTTATTATTTTATTTTAATACTGATTATTTTAATAGGTTTAGCTGATTTAAACTGACTTCATTAAGGAAACTAGCTGGTGACCTAAGAGAAATTGTGAAAATTGTCATAGCATTTTTATTGGAGCTTTCATTCAGTAAACTAGATTAATCTGAAAAATAATCCATACCGCTATACGACCATCATCCATCACCACAATTCTGTCGCAGTCGATGATCGTGTGCAAACGATGGGCAATTGTAATCACTGTGCAGTTCACGAATTTTGTTCGTATGGTCTTTTGAATTAGAGCGTCCGTGCTGTAACAGAAGTTGATTACATGTTTCCCAGTATAAAATAAAAATTATTATAAAAGCCATGAAAATTACTGAGAGTCAATATTGGCGGTAGCTTCATCCAACACGAGTATTCGATTGTTCTTCAGAATTGCTCTTGCCAAGCAAATCAATTGTTTCTGCCCAGTGCTCAAATTGCTTCCGCCTTGCATCACCTCCTGATCCAGAAAGCAATCATTGAGCTCAACTTGCCGGAGGCTCTCCCACAGCCTCACGTCGTCATAGGAATTAAAGGGATCCAAATTATAACGCAAGCTTTCAGAAAACAGGAAAGGTTGCTGAGGTATGATAGAGATCTTTGAACGGAGTTCGTGCAGTCCCAGTGTCTTAATGTCTTTTTCGTCGATTATGATCTGCCCTTCCAAGCCTTCGTCGAATAAGCGGAACAGCACTGATATTAAAGAAGTTTTCCCAGCACCTGTCCTGCCCACGATGCCCACTTTCCACCCAGGTTCTATGGTCACGTTTAGATTCTGAAGAAATGAAACAAATTTGAGAAACCATGTTTATGGAGAAAGACCTGTTTCAGTATATTTTGTTACCTTCAAAACAGGAGGTTTGTCTTCCTCGTACTTCATGCTGACATTCTTCAAAGTTACTTCTCCATACTTTGGCCAGTCATCTGGTGGATCTTTGCTAGTCCAAGAAGCTTCTTTCGGTAGATTAGTATACTGTAAGATTCTTTCCACTGAGGTAATCTGTAAGATCATGTTACCACTTTGCTTTACACCATGTTGCAACGCACCCATCAAGAACAAGGACTGTGACAATGCCAGGCCAACGTTACCTCCAAGAGTATCACCTAAAATATTAAATATATTATAAAATGTTAAATATTTTAGACTAAGAGAAACTTCAGTTCACCTGTGTCTAGGAGGATAAAGGAATAGCAGATGCATGCAATGAAGACACATGCAGCTAAATCAAAAAGGGCACCGAACGCCGTAGAGACAACCAACGATATGTACCAGGCACTTGTGTGCATATCTTGCAAATCATCAAATTGCTTTCGTAGTAAGCTTATGATCTCTGGCCCACTTGTTCTGATCGTCGTCAGACCATTCAGTGTAGTGATTATGTGCGACAGCACGGGGCTCTTTGCTGAAATTTTAATGTAATACAGATGTGTAACATGTAAATGCATGTCCCTTAACTTACCTACAGATTCGATACGCTTAACGTTCTGAGCGATTTTCATGTACAGTAATCTTATATAGTATAACAGGATGAATAGTATGACCAACGGGATGATCATCCAGATATTGACTATGAGTACCACCACGAAGACACCAGATACCAAGACAAATATCTCCAAAGTATCCAGCATCATCTTTGGTAGTATCTCATCCATTGTACCCACGTCCTTTGAAAATCTGTTTAGGATTCTACCTGTGTACAAGCAAATAATCCTTGTTGCAATATATGATGTAGTAACGTATTCAATTTACAGTTTAGTAAGATGTTCAATTTATAGTTTACCAGACGCATTATGATGGAAGAAGGACATTGTGGTTCGCAGTATGTTTGAAAACATCAGGTTGTGCAGATTCTTGCTGGCGGTGGTGCAGATCTTCATGAAGAACATATTTCTTCCTAATACGGTTATGGTCAGGAGAATGATGCAGAATGTGTACACATAGATAGCATCAACATTAGGTAACAGCCCATTGTGGTCCAAGGTGAATATACCAGATAAAAATGTATCATTAAACAGATAATTGTATCTATTAGTTATTGAACCGTTTGAAACTAATTTCTTTGCAGCTTCCAGATTTATCCAGTAAGAGATCCAGTAGTCATGGCCACTGGTGCAGACTTGGGATATGATGATGGTGAAGATCATGACGAACAACATGAAAAATGAACCACCCTGGCGGAAGTATTCTGTGTACACTTTGTTGGAAATACGACCGACTGCTGTTGTTTCATCTTCTTCTTCTGCTGCAAATTTATGCTCTTCATAGTCATAGGAAATCTGGAAAATGATATTGTAATTGTAAGATGATTTTGGTGCAAGCAGTAATTTATATTTAATCAAATAATGTTCAATTACCACACTACTATTATTCGACGTTACTGAAGCCCTGTTTCTTCTTTCAAAGGAAGTTTCTTTTGATGTATCCTGATTTTCGGTTTTCTTTTTAGCTTCCGTCGTAATGCGACTCATCATTTCGTTAAAGCCTTCATTTAACTTGCATAATTGTTCATATTTCCCTTGCATGTGCACGCAGCCCTTGAAAAGATAACATTAAAACGATATTCTGGTATATTTACCGTGTCTGTACATACTCGATCCAACACGACGATATTGTCAGCTTGTTTAACAAATTGCAATTGATGAGTAACCAGAATCCTCGTTTTACCGGAAAGGAACTTCTTAATGCATTCACGGAAAAGATGTTTGGCTACACGTGCATCCACCGCGCTCAAAGGATCATCTAACAAGTAGAGATCAGCTGCTTTGTACACGGCACGTGCCAGGTTCACTCGTGCCCTTTGTCCACCGGACAAAGAACAACCTCCTTCGCCAACGTTGCTCATGTCACCATGAGGGAATTGTTGGAAGTCCCTTGTCAGAGCACATGCCTTAGTTACCTGGAGATAATTCAATTATTTTAAATGCAGCATCTCTTAAGTATGTTGCAGCATTATCTCATTCTCTCTTATTTAATAATTGAAAAATAATCTTCTATCTAACTATCTATTATCTATTGCAGATAACATGGTAAAACTTACAGCAATGTATCTCTCCTTGTTATAAGGTTGACCGAATAGAATATTGTCTCTGAGAGTCCCAGCGAAGAGCCATGTTTCCTGACTAGCATAAGAAATCCTCAAATTTGAAGCATCGTGCTCATTGTTCAAGTCATCCAATGGTTTGTAGTGGAATTTCAATCTACCAGCTCCCAGAGGAAGTTCTTTCAAAAGCAGGTTAAGAAAAGATGATTTACCTGAACCTACTGGACCTACCAGTGCACACAATTGCCCACTCTCAATCTCCATTGAGATGTTGCATAAAGTCGGTGGTAATTGTTTAGGGATCCAGTTTGCTGAAACGTGTTCCAGAACTATGGAGACAGGTGTGTGCTCAGGTTTCTTTGTCAAGTTCTGGTTCATATTTGTCATTCCAATAATTTCTAATTTCTTCTCTGCTTTTTCTGCCTTAAACTGTTGAGTATTGAGTGAACCTTTGTCTGATTGTTCGTCCAGCAGCAAAAATTTCTAAATGAAGAAAATGATGGCTTAAAAAGGTGTGTTATTCTAATATTGTATAAGGTAGCCTTCATGATAACAAACCTCTAATCTTCTTATAGATACCATGGACTCTCTAGCAAATATAAGTGCATTTGGAAACAAGACACCAACTGTCAGTTGAATAATGCTGAAGTAATTGGTCAACGTATACGACAAGTCCGCTGTTAAGCGATTTCCCAGCAAGCTAAATGATATAAGAGTCACAAAAAGAACAATGCGATGGGTGAATACAGCGGAAGCGTAACACATAGCTCGGATGTATGAAGCGAATTTTATTTTCTTAATCTCAGTAGCTCTTATAGCCGCCACAATCTTGGCAAAAGGTTCCTCCCAGGCGTACATCTTGACTACCTGATCAAGACATCAAGATCGTAGATTAAAGATTACTCGAAGCTAATTATCTGTTTACCTGTATGCCAGCTATTAGTTCATTCATAAGTTGGATTCTTTTATCTGTCTTCTTAGCGATAATTCTTCGCAGCTTTCCACTGAAGCTGAGAGTGATAGAGTGAATCGGAAGAGATATTATCGTTAAGGCGGCGATAGCCGCGAGTGTCAAGATTCCAATCTGTTGCCATATTATTACAGCCACGATAATGACCTGTGTAATTAGATGTGATGATAATTTAACTATCAACATCAACTGAAGCATTTATGTATTTTGATATACTTGGAGAGGTGTGATCCACAGGAAATTCAGGAAGTAAAAGAGTTCATCAAAGCGGCTAACGTCGTTGGTTAGAAGATTTACAACTTGACCTGAGGAAGTCTGACTCAAAGCTACCTTACTGAGTCTTAGTGCCTGTAATATGAGTAAGAATTTTTGAAATGTGGTACAAATGTTATCAGGGAATTTATTAACGGGTCTTATGTACACAAAGATACTGTTCTAAAATTACCATTACAAAATGAGAAGATATTCACTGAATGTGTTATCTAAATTCTAAGCATATATTTGCAAAATGGTAATTATGGATATTTATGTAAAAATTACATGATACTTGGCAATTTCTTTAGCAAGTTTTAAGTCATTGATATTATATTTAATATTGATTAATGCAATACATACTTTCCTGTAAATCAGTGAACAGCATGCAATCCGTATCTTCATGCCTATTGCTTCTGATAATAAATCAGTATGATGCCGGACTACCACACTTAATAATAAACTAAGAATCAAGCAACTTGCATAAATTAAACTGTCTGTTTTTGTGATCATTTTCAGCTCTTTATTGTCGTCGAAGTAATTCAGAATCCAAGACTGAAGAATTGGCTGTAAAATAGCTAAAAATCCGTAGTAAATTAAAGTTAACAAACCGATGCACAAATATTCAAACCCAAAAGCACGGAGCAGAGCTTTCTCCAAATGAGGTACATTTGGTTCCTTGTTATTTTGTACATTTTTCCCTTGCTTTAAATTCATTAACTCTTGTTTCCAGCATCTACAAAAATATGCACGACGTCTCTTCTCTTCAGACAATTTAATTTGAGCTGTGAAATCTTGTGAAGTACTTACTGTTCCAGTCGATCACCAAGGTTTTCAGATTCATCCTGTTTCAGTGGACGATAAAGGTCTGCTAACGTCAACTCTCTGTGAAATCCTTTCCGAAATAATTCTTTAGACCACCTATGACATCATCGAAATAGAAGAAAGATTCTTTTCTCTTAAAATAATGAAGAGATGAAAGCATACCAGAAACAAATTTTGCTTATTATATTCGCGTTTTCTTTCGGATTCTTTTCAATGTACACTACTTTCTGTTCCATTCTTTTACGAAGTGCGCATCTGTTAAAAGTTCCGGTCCTACTAACATATTATCGGTATTCGTTCCACCTTTTATCCTGCCTGATAAATACTGAATATTAGAAGTAAAGTTACCTTGAAAGATTATAAAGGTATTTCTTCAATTATTTTCGTGGGAAAATCATTTTGAGATAGTAATACAACTATATAATTTAGTGCGTAATACTTTTGCAAGGTAAGATGTAATATATTACATTTATTATTCATGAAAAATACGAAAATTATTTAAATTTATATATCTGTAACAAATCGTTCAGAGCTGTGATTAAATTTGCCGCTATGTCTATGGTGTTATTCTATTGGCGTAGGTCCAGCCAATCAGCGATCTCCTCGTTGACCGCGCATTTGCTGCGTTCAAAATATTCAGTTCGACCGCAACCCTCGAAGGGGGAGGACACGTGCGTTCGTTTAACAGTCAAAGTGAATTAGTTAATCTTTACATGCATATGATTAGTAAAATATCGTTTAATGAAGTGCTTTTTATATCATGTAAAAAGATACATTTTTGTGTTACAAAGTGAGGTGCTTCATGGCGTTTAAACCGGTGAGTACCATATATATCACACTGTTTGAATTTTAGTTCAATTAAAGATATAAAGTACGAACATTAGTTTTTATTTCCTTCGCTGGTATAAAGAGTGGAATGTATTCAATATGTGGTTGTATCACTAGTGTGTATAAAAGTAGAACTTTATTTACAATTATCTAATGCATTTTTGTTCAGCGCCAAATTAAATGTACTTCTAAGAGCGTATTTAAAATATGTATCTACTTTGGCAGTTATATTTAACTTTATATATACACCTACGGAGATCTTCATAAAGTATTAATGTTTATTCGAATATTTGTTCCCATCAAGATTTAAATGATCTTAGTAAATGGGAGAATTTATAACTTTGATTGCACAACTTGTAAGTACCGACGTCGTAAAAAAATACAATATAATGTTATCTCCGAAGATGCTGAATTATAATTAACGTTATATGTTTACTTAACGTTATCTTTAACATAAGTATAGTTCCTGATAGAGCGAGGTCGTAAATCTTATTTATATGGCGAGACTTCCAGTTTCAGATATGATTTCTTGGCGAGTATTACAACATCGCTGTATCAAGGGGAACACTATACTACATAGGTTTATCGAGCACACCATAAAAAACTAATTGACTTTCGACGTGTATTATAAAATATTCGTATATGTATAGTTATCCAAACTATAATACATTTACCGTTACATAATACATCTGTAATATACATATAATATAAATCCTGTAAAGCATTATAAACGTTGGTACAAATCAACGCGCTTGCTCACAAAATCGCAATAAAATTCATTATCACTGTGGCAAAATGTTGGCCTATCTTATGTCTCTTTACTTAAATCTTATCCTACTGTTTCTTATAATACATAATTATTTGGCATCTTGTAAGTGTATAAATGTTCCAACTGGATTTCAAATTTAAAAGACTGTACATCTAAAATTTTGTAAATATAGACATCTGGCATAGAAAAATATAAGTACTCGGTTGAAAGATACACTGCGCAGCAGTGATCAACTGTAGAAATTCATTTCACTGTATATTGCTGGAATACACGCCCATGACGCGTACAAAGTACAAAAATAAGATTCTTCGAATATCATTTGCATTTGGAACTTACAATAATACTTCGTAAAAGTGGAATCAGTACAAAATTGTGCTCGTTAGATTATACAAGCTATGGAGAAGTCTCTTCGAACATCCTGCACGATCATCGTTCTCCGTGTTTAGCAATGTAAGACTGCTTCGCTATCCTAACTAACTGGTCGAACATAGCGCGGTCGGTTTCTTTCACTAATGAAGTAAATTGACTGTAAGTATTTTGCAGTAACATATGCGGATGATCGTATTCCTGGAAAAGAAAGGAAGGTTAATTTAACCCATTAAAAATTATTTAAATAAGGTATATACTTAGACAAGGTATTACTTACCGCCATGCGGCCCTTATCCATAACTAAAACTTTGTCGCTGTCCATGATGGTGTTTAACCGGTGGGCAATAGTAAGTACAGTGCACTTGGTGAACTTCCTTCTGATGGTATTCTGAATTAGAGCATCCGTTTGCGGGTCCACGTTAGCGGTTGCCTCGTCCAGCATGAGTATTTTATTATTTCTTAAGATGGCTCTTGCCAGACAGACTAATTGTCTTTGACCGACGCTGTAGTTGCTGCCTCTATCCAGTACACGACTCTCTAAGCCGTTACCACTGATGACAACAGCATCTTTTAACTCCACCTACAAAGAAGACATAGGAAGAAATGTGAGACCTGAAATGTGAGACTTGATCTTCTCATCAGAAACTATTTAACAAACCTCTTCGAGCACCTCCCATAAGGCTGCATCAGAGAATTCATTAAAAGGATCTAAGTTGCGTCTCAAAGTACCCGAGAATAAGACAGGATCTTGAGGAATGATGGATATGTGACGTCGTAAATCTTCAAGACAGATAGACCCGGTATCTATGTCATCAATTTCTATCACTCCCTCAACCTTAGCCAGTCTGAACAGCGCCGAGATTAAGGACGACTTCCCAGCACCCGTTCTTCCAACGATGCCTATCTGTAACGTTCCAAATTTATTATCCTGCCTCATAACTCCTATATTATATTATAAATTAATGACTAACTTTTTCACCAGGATTAATGACAAGATTTAATCCTTTCAACACTGGAAGCTCCTCCTCCGCGTAGCGCATATAAACGTTTCTGAATCTGATCATTCCATCCTTGGGCCAATTTTTGGGAGCATTAGCTGGCAGCGCTATCTGCTTTTCACTTTTCTTCGCAAATTTCCCTCTGTCGCGTAAATTCGGTTCTGGCGGGATGTTCGTGTATTCGAGTACACGTTCCACGGCCATCATTTGGTTCGCAGCTTCGGCGTTCTGCCGCATACCCCACTGGATCATTCCGGTCATGGCCATTACTTGAGTGATGGCCAAACCTACTTCACCGCCGGAAAATGCTGCAAAGGAAATTGTATCTTGATTCTGCTACGTGGAAAGAAAAAATATACTTACATTGTTCTAAGAGAAGGAAGCTGAATGTGACCAGCGACGTGAAGACAAAGCAGAAGATGTCCAAGGAGAATCCGAAACCGCTGCTCGACACTACGTACATATAAACGGTGGAAGTATGAACATCCTGTAGCTTATCAAATTCTTTCTTGAGAATATCCTGTGCACAATAGGCTCTGATAGTGGTTAGTCCATTTAGGGTAGCGTTTAAGTGAGTGAAGACGGGAGAGCGAGCTGCAAGAACAGGTTTAGTTTACCAAATAGTATATACATAGTAATTTATACATAACCTATAAATACTTACACATTCCTTCCAAGCGCTTAATATTTTTACTAGTTTTTAAGTACACCTTTCGTATCCAGTAGAACACAGTACCCAAGAACACAATAGGAATTAAGAAAAGTGGGTTAACAATGCAGGATACCGCTAACGACCCGAACATCATCATACATATTTGTCCAGCGTCCAGCACTGCTTTCGGTAACAGTTCATCGATGGTTCCCATATCTTTGGAGAACCTATTAAGTATACGACCGCTAGGATTTGTATCGAAGAACCTCATGCCTGTTCTGATGAGCGCGCTGAAGGCCATGTCGTGTAATTTTTGACTGCACACTATGCACACTTCGTAGAAGGTCAGTGACCTGGTAATTCCGATGCAAAATAGGCCAACAACTATAGCCGTGTATATGTACATGTAATTATACATGGAAGAAATATCTAAATTTTCTGTGGACGTTTCATTGGTAGCATTTAAGGCAGTTTGTTGAAGTAAGTAAGTTCGTGTCTCTTCCTTGCTTACTCTGTAAAATATGTGCAATTCAGTATGGAGTATATAAAAAGGTCGTGGGAGGTTGGGTCACTTACAGTATAGGAACAAAGTAATCGTTGAGACTAGCCATGAACTGGGTACATATAAAGAACAATAGAAGTGTTACTGCTAAACATAGATTAGCACCAGTTTGGAAGTACTTTATGAATATTGGTCCCTTGACTGTTCCACGAGAGGTTCCTTCTAAACCGTCGTTTAATTTTTCTGCGTCTTCATCTTCCTCTTCGTCGTCTGTTCCCCCGCTACTGGCATCTGGCGTGCGACTCTGATTAAAATAAAACACTCATGGTGATATCTGTTCATCTTCTTATCTATGTACTTATGTATCTATATCTGTATCTATAGCTATGTTTATAGTCTGTTTATAGTTTGTATCTGTGTCTATGTCTATGTCTCTGTCTATGTTTATGTCTCTGTCTCTGTCTATGTCTATGTCTATATCTATGTCTGTGTCTCTGTCTATGCCTCTGTCTATGTCTCTGTCTATGTCTCTGTCTATGTTTATGTTTATGTTTATGTTTATGTTTATGTCTCTGTCTATGTCTATGTCTATGTCTATATCTCTGTCTCTGTCTTTGTCTATGTCTATGTCTATATCTCTGTCTATGTCTCTG